GCTAGTCAGTTCGTACTATGATCGTGTGCGCGAGGAAATAGTGTCTGAGTCTCCTCGCCGCATTGACAAGGGCTAGAGCTACTTTCTCTATCTGCTGGTATCTGACCTCGGGCCCTTGCAGCGCTTTGCTCGTGAAATAGACGGGCTTTTTTCCGTCAGACGTCTCGCGAATGAGTCGCGCCGATGGCTTCGATCGAGACGGCCAAGTACAAGAACAAAGGTTCCCCGTCGACGGGTCGTGATAGCACGAACGGTTGGGATAGACTTCGTTTGAGATGGAGCAACGCCTGCTCACATTCCTCGGTCAATTCGAAGGCTGCTTCCTTGCGAAGGAGCTTGAAGAAGGGGAGGGCGTGCTGAGCGGATCTCGCAACGAAACGGGATAACGAGGTGAGCATACCGTTCATGACTTGTATGGATTTTTTCGATGTGGGTGTGAGGAGGTCAGAGAAAGCCCGACACTTGTCGGGGTTGGCTTCAATTCCTCGTTCTGTTAGGTAGAAGCCGAGGAATTTTCCCGCCTTGACCCCGAACGTGCACTTCTCGGGGTTAAATCTCATCTTGCATCGTCTTGCTTGAGCAAAGACTTCTTTGAGGTGAGCGGCATGGTCGATATTTGCTCGGGATTTGACGATCATGTTGTCCATATACACCTTGAGCATGTCCCCTATTTGGTTGTGGAACACTCTATTCATCATACGTTGGTATGTTGCTCCTGCGTTTTTTAGACCAAAGGGCATCACGTTGTAGTAATAGTTGCCTGAGCTGGTCATGAAAGCAGTGCAATGCTTGTCGCTTACAGCCATTGGGATTTGGTTATAGCCTGAATAAACATCCATAAATGATAGTATTTTATAACCGGCCAAGTTGTCAACCAGCATATCTATGTTCGGTAAAGGAAATGCATTTTTCGGTCATGCCCGATTGAGATCAGTATAATCAACATACATTTGCCACTTTCCATTATTCTTTTTGACTAGTACAACATTTGACAGCCAGGTTGAATACTGGACTTCGAAAATAAAATTTGCCTCTAGGAGGTCTTTTACAGCTTTTTCAGCAGCATCTGTTTTCTCCGAAGACTGCCTACGCCTACGTTGTACTACTGCCCTAGCGGCCGGATCTATGGCGAGGCGGTGACAGGCGACCTCGGGGTCGAGTCCGGGCATCTCTGTCGCGCTCCACGCGAATAGGTCTGCATTCTCGCGCAAGCAGGCTTTGATTTGCTTCCTTGCCAAGTCGGGGAGGCCGATGCCGATCTTCACTCCTTTGCTTGTGTCCTCGCCGAGGGGGACGAGTTCGAAGTCCCCGTCCGGGATTGGTCGGAGGGGGACTTGCTCGCCACTGGGAGGCTCATCCTGGTCGAAGCGGGTGTCCAGGGATATTGAGTCGACCTCTGGAGGAGTTTTCTGCTCTTCTATCTTGGCGGACTCTGTCCTCTGAGACTCTGGTCGTGTTGTCGTAGCTCTCTTGGTGGGCCTGGTCCCGGTGTCGATCGTATCGCGTCCCTTAGATGCTGCATTGAAACACCTTCGGGCAGCTGCCAGGTCCCCTTGGATGGTGGCAACCCGTGCCCTCTTGGTGTAAAACTTCATCTTTAGGTGGACGGTAGAGGGTACCGCTGTTAGTTCTGCCAGTGTCGGCCTTCCCAGAATACAGTTGTAGAGGGAAGGGCAATCAACGACGAGAAAACACACCTTGACCTGCCTCATCGTTGTATCCTCGTCGAACGTGACCATGAGTTCGACGTATCCCTAAGGCTTAGAAGTCGAGTCGTTAAAGCCCTACAGGTCTGACCCCACGTAAGGTGAGAGGTGTGAGTCGTCGAGCTGCAGGGTGCAGAATAGTTGGTTGTACATTACGTCAACGAAACTCCCTTCATCGACGAGAATGCGATGCACGTCAAAGTTGGTCATCCTCGCTCTTATCAGCAGAGGAATGACTGCGTTGGAGGCCCCTCCAGGGAGCTCTTCAAGATAAAAGGTGATAGGTTCTGACCTACCCTTTACCCTTTCAAAGGTCACGGTCTGAGGAGGTGTCGTGTCGACCAATTTGTCCAGCTTCCTCTTGACTGAATTTATGGTCAGGTCGTTGAACCTTCCACCATTGATGATCATGGCGGAGGGAAAGTGCTCTCATCTGCTGTGCGTCGACAGCGGTTCTTGCATGTGTTCGGAGACGTAGAAGTCCTCGGGTCTGGTGACGGAGAAGGCGGTTTGGATGGAAACCGACTCGTCAGATGGTCGGGCATCCTCCTCTGTTTCTCTTATCTCACGGGCGTCGCGATGAGGAGCGTCGTTTCACCGGTACTGGGCGAGTCTCCTTCCTTTTATGAGGGTCTCGATGGCGTCCTTGAGGTGGACGCAGTCTTCAGTCAGATGGCCATGGCTCCTATGGTACTGACAGTATTTGCTCTTGTTCACCCCGGGCTTGGCAGGAGCTGGTCGGGGGCGCTTGACGCCGCCATCTTTAAAATTTGTACTGACACACTCCGCCAAGATGCGCTCACGGGAAGCTGTGAGCGGAGTGTATTCTGTGAAACGCCCCGAAGGTCCCCTCTGTTCTCGGACGTCCCGGGGTTTGTCGTCTTTTCTTTTCTCCCTGGTTCGTCAAGGAGGAATGGCTTCTTGGCGCGGGTTGCTGCTGGATCCGCGAGTCTTGGGGTCACGGGCTCTGTTGGCCGTTTCCCTTTCCTCGTAGTCCATGTAGGCCCTGGCCTTCCCGAGGAGAGCATCGAACGTTCGGGGTGGTTCGATGTCCACTGCTTTCCTGAATTTTGTGTCGGGGAAGAGGCCTCTCTCCAGCAGGTATCTCTTCATGTGGTTCGCGCAGGGGACCTGGATGGCTTCGCGGTTGAAGCGATTGATGAATTCTCTCAAGGTCTCATCCTGCCTCTAGATGATGGTCTCGAGCGCCGCTTCGATCTTTGAATATCGTCGTGACGCAGTGAACGAGCTTATGAATTGGTTTTTCAAGTTTCGCCACGAGGTGATTGACCTCAGGGCGAGACCCTTATACTAATCCATTGTCGCTTTCCTGAGGGTCGTGGGGAACAACCGGCATTTGATTGGTCCCCCGACGTTATGGTAGTGCAGCATAACTTCGAACCCGTCTATGTGATCGACCGGGTCGGCGACTCCATCATATTCTTTCAGGTGTGGAGGTTTCTCCATGCCGGGGGGAATGGGCGCCTCCATGATAGCTTGTGATAAGGGACCGCGGGGGTCGTCCTCATCACTTCGCTCCGGGGAGAGGGACAGGGACCTGATATTTTGTCGATCACGATGGCCCTGATCGCGTTGGACGTTCCTCGGGCGATGTGTCTGTTGGTATGTCCCCCGTGTCTGTCTCCGGGATGCCTTGGTTCTTGTCGTGAAGGGTCGTGGTTGCGCCTCCCGGCTTCGATGATTGGTTCTCTCTCTAAGGCGGGTCGCCGCCCAGGTGGTCGGGGCGACGGGCTTCGAGAGACATCGCGGTTCTGTCTCCGCGGGGGAGATCGGGGACGTTCCTCCGTTCTTCGAGGAGGTGGAGATTGAGGCCTCATGTGTCTCCTCGGGGGCCTTCTGTCGTCCTCTAGCACCCTCAATCTTTCCTCTTGAGCAAAGATGAGGTAGTTGATCTGATTGATTGCCGCGAACAGTGCTCTGGTCGTGGCGTCTACTCTGGCGGGGACAGGGACCTCATGGAATTGGGTGGCTAGATAGTTGGGGGGAACTGGATTGTCTTCTTCGAGCGGAGGAGGGATTGAGGAAGATGAAGTCGTGGCTCCGTCCCGGTAGTTTGAGGGCCCGGAGATGACGCCCCCGGGAAGTATATTATGGTCGGGGTTGCCGACGTTGTCGGGACCACCATTCTTGTCAGCGAGGTTGTTGTTAGCATCAACGACGCGAACATTCTGGTCGTCCCGAGTTTGGTCAGCCATGACGGTGGAAGATGGTTTTAGCTTTTGGTCTTTGAAGGTTTGTAAGACGGGAAAGCCTAGGTTCCCATAGACGGCGCCACTGATCGTACCTGGTCAGAATCGGACCGTCACAGTTGACTCAAACTGGGTTTGAATGAGATGGGGGGTACCTGCAAGACACTTTGATGATAAAATGAGAGACGAAATGGACAGGCAAATAATATGTAGGTGCGTAACAAATGAATACCTGGCCCTCTTGAAGTAGAGAGTATTTATAGCCCCCAGCACTGGGTCAAGGTCCCTTTATTGGGCCGACCAGAGCTGGTCCAACAAAGGGACTGTTAAGTTCTACGTGTGTAGTGGGGACCCGCACGTGGTCCCCTTCCTGGGTGGTGCTCTGCGAAGAAGGAGGGAGAACGAAGACACAGTCCTCCCAGAGCTCTAAGGATTCCGCAACATCCAGAAGGGACTGTGTCTGCCCTACGGGGAGAATGCCCGAGCAAGGCTCGAGTTAGAGTACCCTCGATCGGAGACGCTGCAAAGTGATGCGGATAGCGGCGGACACAACCGTTGTGACCTATGACTGGATATGCTCGGGACGGTCTGATTCCGAACACAGCTCAGAGAAGTGCTTGGATCTGGGCCTTTATTTGTGTTTTGGGTCAAGGCAGGCCCAGTCCAAAACATACTTCCATTACTCCTTTTAAATTTACACATTTACAGAGAAAAATAATTATTTTACTTAGTTGTCATTTCAATATCTAATATAATATTAAATATTAGTTTATCAATAATATTTTTAATTATTTATTACAGATAAAAATAGACGAAAACTATTTTTTTAAAAGAAAATAGATTAAACGAAATGATAAATATTTTAAAATGTTACATAGCGGAAAGTGGGCCGTACCCCACTACCCCCGACCGTACAATGTTTTCGTCATCAAATTATTTACATAGTCAATGCTTCAATTGAAGCTAAACTCAAGAAATTAGCGACTGTTGTTAAGCTATGGACTCACCACTTGAAAACTAGAGCCCTGTACACGAAGGTATTCAAAGAGCGTCAATGCATAATCCTGAAAAACTATGAAGACTATCATTGACGCCTTCTTTGATAAAGTGAATAACCAACAATGGCTGACATTAGAAATGTCCACAGAACCTGCCCATAGTATCAAATAAGCAAAACATAAACAAACGAATACAAACAAGAAATGCAGTGAATTCAAAACCAGCAAGCACTTAGAGGAACAGGGTTTTGCAAGTACCGTATTTATCGCAAGCCACCTTTCAAGCCTTCTAATCTTTGATTGCATCTCTTCAATAATGCCTTCAATCGGAGAGACTCTGCTTGATGAGGATTCTGAGGAAGAGCTACATCCCTGGACCAACAAGTTTTTTATGTTTAATGACAATGCCTACTTTAAATGCGGGAAAAAAAGTCCATTTAGGAATACAGAAGCTTTAAACCAACGCAGAAGTCCTATGCAGTGTAGGTGTACAGAGCAGCATTAGCAAATCTCGAATAGAATGGGATAGACTTTTAGTAGGTGCCTATATAGGTTAGGATCAATCGGTCATGTTAACATGCAGGAGCTGTAGCACCCCTTATGATGTTGCATTCTCTTGGCTTCACTATTATTAAGGATATGATATGATGCAGCAAAATATCAAGCACCCTCTTTTTTAAAGATCAGATATGCACACCTGAACATATCCTACTAGATATAGGTCCAACTTTCCTCACCTGAAAACACATCCTCCAACAACTAGCACCATAGCACCAATGATAATTGTTGAGATATTATAATTATGGTTAGTATTAGTTAGCCTACTGTGTTTTTGTACATTTTCTTCGCATAATGAAGTGAACACATTTTCTCTGGCGGTTGAGTGTTCAAGAGACATCTTGGTTTTGTTCTGCCGCAACACCTGCTACCATCGGGACTGGAAACCTTCGACCTGTCGTCTAAAACCCCACTGACAGAAGCTCCTCCATGCACTCCTCGCACTTGTGTGTCCCGCACCACCTTCTGCTCATCGGTTTGTGACACGGTTTGTTCATGTGGTCTCATTTTTCCTCCCAGTTTTGTTGGGACGAACCCCTTCCAGTTTTTGGGTCTCAGTTCGATTTGTGTTTCAGTAGTTCTTTGCTTCAGACGTATCGGTTTTTCACCATTTCAGTCCGTCTGCATCAAACATTTGGGTTGTTCTTTGTTTCTACGACCCATACTTCAGAATTTGGTATTGTTGAAAAAAAATTGGTTGAAATATAATGTTAGAAATCCCAACAGCGGAGGTTGTTATTTTAACTCGTATTCTTTTGTTGAGTTATGGTTTTTGGGTCAATGCCATTCAGACCATTTTACTAATTACTAATTAGTTGATTATCAACTTGTACTACTGTCGTAAAATTTACTGATCTCAACCCCTTTTTTCTTTAGGGTTTTCCACAAAATCTCTTTGGGCACTCTACCATATTTCTTTAGGGTTTTCCACAAAATCTCTTCGGGGACTCTATCATATGCATTCTCCAAATCAAACTCTATCATACGCATTACCAAATCAATGAAAGCTAAGTGCTAGTCTTTTATCCTTCCGAATATTCTTTTTATTCATCCGTGTTAAGAAATGTGGTCGGGCCTAACTCAACCCTACAAAACCGACTTGGGCACTCTACCATATTTCTTTAGGGTTTTCCACAAAATCTCTTTGGGGACTCTATCATATGCATTCTCCAAATCAAACTCTATCATACGCATTACCAAATCAATGAAAGCTAAGTGCTAGTCTTTTTTATCCTTCCGAATATTCTTTTTATTCATCCGTGTTAAGAAATGTGGTCGGGCCTAACTCAACCCTACAAAACCGACTTGTAGGGTGAGGATTGCCCCCACTTATAAGCATATGTTCAGGGCATATATTGCCTGATATGGGCTCTTAACAATCCGATATCACTTCATCGCACATCGTAGTAAGTAAACTGTTTCCATGGTCAACCTCCTAAGCATAAAACCAAATAGATTATCGATGATATGAGTCTCTATTCTTGGTCTCCACTAAATCACTCTTTCTTATAATTTCATGGTATAACTTATAAGCTAAATCACCCTATAATTTGTGTATTTGATCCATGCCATAGAGATTCAACTAAGTTTTATGTTGGCTTTTAACTGCCTTACATAACCCTCTCCTTTTATCCGGGGGGCTTCGAACCAACTATGCATGGGAAGGCTAGTATAGACATGATTTCATTATGACATCTAATTTTAATTAAAATTACCATACCGAGTCTAGTGTGGATATAAATAGGGGTTAGTAGTCGGTCTTTCTTTTCACATCATATCATATTGATATGAACAAAAAAGAGAGTATTATTCATGATCTCCCTGCCTCCTCCTAAACCCTGCCCGAAAGAAATAAAAACTAAAGTTTATCCACGAGTACAGGGTACCTGAGATTGAATAAAGTCCATAATCTCTAGCAGCCTTGTTGATTGCTGAAAGTTTATCCCACCAGAATTTCTCTCCATTGTTGGTAGTCTTTCCAAAACTATTTCAAGGTAACTCTGCCGAAAAACAGACAACAGTAATAAGTTGACCACCATCCGGATATCACAATAGACATGATTGATTCAGCACCAGAGAAAAGAACGAAACTATAATAGAGCAACAATGTCAATACCTTAGTAGTATATGAACCATCCAATTTAAGCATTGAACCTGCTGCTGCCACAGCATCCTTAGAAACACCCTTTATCTGAATATATGGACCAGGGACATCTTGTAGATGATCAACCTCAATTAGAATCTACCCCAGTAAAATCGGAAGAAGAAAAAAAACTTCAGTGGCAAGTTAAGAACTCATTGACCAAAAATAAGCCCAGAGGTGAAGGTGGCAAATAATCATCTTCCAAGAGAATAATAACACGATTTAATTATTCCACATGCATAGGCATATGCCCCAAATTTGAGTAGTGTAATAAAAGGAAATTAAGGAACTGGTGGTACAACTACATACTACCCAAAAAGGTGGTCACTATTTGTTGTGAATCAAAAAGAAGGGAGTTAGGGTCATTGCTCGGTCTAAGCTTTAGTATAAATACAAGTCAAAATGGCATAACCATTCTGAGTAATTAGTAAAAGAATATCCACTGAATCTTAAATCTCTCCATTGTTTTCCATTTTCCTTCTCACTCCCTAAAACCCTCACTTTTCAACAATATAGCATTAGTTTACATCAAAGCCCAGTTCTATTATAAAAGAGTGATGTTCAAAAAGACTTAAAATGATTACCATTAAATCTCTGTTGCCTAAATGACACTCACAATAATTGCACCAAGATCTACCTTTCAGAGTTACATTAGAAGAGATATCAAACATGGGGTTAAGACTTAAGAGTTCAACAATTCATCATCATAAATCCGAACTAGATCTCTATAACTTTTATAGGAGAAATAGGAATGAATTCATTTCAGCCTATAATTTTTATCAGCTAATTACTGGAAACATGTATTTTCAGTCAAATGTAAATCATAAGATAAATCATGTGACCTTTCCATCCTGGTAGATGAATGCAGACGCTTCAATATAAGCAACTGCTTGATACCTGATAGATAACTGCTACCAATCAATAATAGTAATATGTAAATACATCGACAAATTAGATAGAAAAATTGAAAGATAGAAATTTGCAAGAGGTGTCTATCATTTTGTTGTCAAATACAACACATCCATATGTTAGAATATAAGAAAGATATTTTTTCGAACACCACAACTAAATCCATATAACATAATTCTTTTATGATTACAATGATCTACAAAAGGGGGTGATTATCTCTTTGTATTGAAATATGGCTTACCCAAGGTTTAGAAGACCGGCAACCGTAGTAATGCTAATATCAAAATCCACTTTAGGCTGAATGATGAAGTTTCCTTCTCTGATAGGCTGGATAGTACAAGATAATATGAAACTTAAAGAAAAGATAATATGAAACTTATGGAAAGAAAATAAAAACTGATACAACATCCATACATGTGACGATATAAGTAAATGATGGGAAGAAGAGAAAAATATTTCCTACCTCACGTATCAGTAATGCAAATCTGCCTTCACATATTCTAACCCGAATACAATCACTATCTGTCAGTTGACCATTAGAAGGGATCCCAGGAAGCCTCATGTAAATATCGATAAATTTCTGCACTGAACTGCAAAATTTTGCTGGATCAAGAATGGATAGAATGTCTTGATAAGCCACCTGTTATTTATTGTTATCTTTAGTAAAAAAGATTGAACAAAACCAGGTCACATATTATGATTTATAGATAGAAATAAACCCCTTACTTTTCTGTTACTCTTCAATACAAACAGTGAACTCTCGGGAGAAAGCACAGGGTCAAAGTCGTTTCGAATTTTCAGCTGGAATTCAATGTGAAACGGTGATATATCACACACCCGTCAATTCTCTGAAAACAACTATCCACTATCTAAAAATTAAGAAACATTGAGAGACAGTAGTCACAGTACTCCTATTAAAGATCTATGTGAGAGCAGAGAGAGAGAGAGAGAGAAGGTCTATCAAAATAAACTAAAATCACCAAGTTTTATATTATTGTTTCAGGGTCAGTAATCATGCGTGAAAGCTTTTTCCACCAAAATAATTTTCAAGATTTACAGAATCACCTTAGTCATGTAATGTATATTATAATAGTAGACCATTAAAAAATTAGAAGATTTGCCGTACTTGTTTATATATGGAAGCCATTTAATGGTTCAGCCTAAAATCTTAAGTAATCAAAACTACTAAAACCATTACTTCTTAAGCAGCATTAAAATATGGAGGTTAAGAAAAGCACGCTATCCACTAACATGTGCATGAACAAGATGGGGTTCAATAAGTTGTTGGAACATAGGAAACACTGTCATCATGATCTCATTTTGGGAAATAAAACATCCCACTCTACTCTTATCCCTTTGAACTCGTGAAATCAAATGCGAATGAACGCCTCCTACCTGTTTTGAATAAGAAAATAAGTAATTTCATAGAATTTCTTAGCCCCGGCTAAATAAATAAATAAAATAGGAAAAAGGCTTTCAGAGATGGATGATAACTCATTCTTACAACAGCAATCCACAAGTCAAGTGACATTCGGATATCCGGATGCAACGCATAGACGCCTTCAAATATAATCTGATCAAAATTAGGAATGAACTCTCAAGAACTACAATAGACAAATAGGAAAAAGAACTAACTAGCATAACATGACTGGCAACTATATCAGGAAGTATGCATAGAGACAGACTAAGATGCATCAAATACTCAATTTTTTTACTAGGCATTTTTGCACTGCATTTTTTGATGTCAGTGAGTGTGACAAAACAGGCAACAGTACAGACAGGTAAAAAGTGGGTTTAGACAACTTATGGATATGAGGTGGAAATGGTGTAGTGTTCCTTTGTGGGACAAATTGATCAGTATATTCATTTCCTCAACTAATTGTTATATACCCTTCTGCAGTGCAACAGGGGATTTCAACAAGTGCACTACACTGCAGCTAGTGTGTCGCTGAATCCCTACAGCAGACCAATAGTGACTGATTCTGAGGCACAGTCTTAGCAGAGTGTCATAGCCTGAATGCTACAAAGTACAAAGGGTTAAGCGCTAACACCATTTGTCAACTCTTGTGCAGCTATTGGCATGGTAATTGTAAAGAAATACACAGGTCAACCATGGTCCATAGCTTTCAAGTTTCAGGGGAACAAATTTAATGACTGACCACTCCACAATCTTCAGAAACTTCCAGTTCCTTGAAGCCACTCCGAGCACCACTTTCTAAGTCAAATATAGGTACTTTTGTTCTTCGTCCATTTCTTATGTCATCGATATTCTGCAAGGAACTCAAGAATAAGAATGTTAAATAATCCACAAGTACAATGGCCAAAAAAGTATCCAGAAATTTTGACTAACCAAGCATTTAAGTCAATTAAATTTACCCTTTTCTTGGATAAGTAGAGACAAATTATCATCCATTTTATTTTCAGGTGAATAGAGTAATTACCATCACCTTGATTGAGAAAAATGGTGAAAACAAGAAATTAAAGTAGTTTGCAATGATACAAAACAGTTGTTATTTAAACTAGGGCTGTTCATGGTATGGTTTTATGAGAAAACCAAACCGAACCGAACTAAACCATAGTTTAATTTTATTTGAACTTAACCGAACCGTTTCAATTTACTTAGAACCGAACCGAACCAAAATTATTGATTTGGTATACTATTTCAAAACTCCAAACCGTTAGAAGACAATTTTTCCCGAACCGAACCGTTTATTAAAGAACCGAACTGTTAAACTTTTTTTTTTTTAATTAAAACTTATTTTTAGTATTTTTCATTTTCAGTTTTGGTTCGGTTCAGTTCGGTTTCAGTTTTTGTTTGGTTCTAAAACTGTTTGTGTAATATGGTTTGGTTCACTAACCAAACATAACGGTCTGGTTATTTTAACCTCAGATCGGTTTGGTTCACCGATTCAGTTCAATTCAGTTTTTTTTGAACAACCCTAATATAAACTGATATAATTGGGAAACAGGCCATTACCGATAAACTCTGCAGCCGAAACTAATTAAAGTGTCCAAAGCTAAATACTAATAGATGGGTTAATGATACTAAATCAGCACAATCATTATAAAGAAAACATAAGAAAACCTAAACAAGAAAAGTTTTAGGGCAGGCAATAATGAGAAAGGTTCAGGCTAGGGTATCCCTAACCTTACAAATTGATTTTACGGGATTGAATTGGACCCGAATCCCTAATTCGAAGGTTGTATCATAGCTTGTTATGCCAAGAAATTTGTTGTTTCACACACAATCATTCACACTTCACTTCAGATGTCCAGTTCTAGACCAGGGGGGTGTTAGGATCCTTGTTATTCCACCCTATAGATCCACACTTTAGATTCCAATCCTGAGTGTGATGGGGTGTTGAGATTCTAACATCAACTAGAGATATGGTCTAAGTGGTGCTGATAAGACTAGTCATGTGATAAGCCAGTTTTATGGGATTGAGTTAGGCCTAAAGCCCAAATTCTAAGCAAAATAAATCCATTTATACACAGAAATTTCAAGTACTTGTGAAGGGTTGCTATATAAATGAGAGCAACATCAATTTAAAGGGGTAACTCAGTGGGGTGGGGGGGTTGAATGTTCGCAGCCTTACCCCTGTTTTTTATAACAGAGAGGCAGCAAGGTTCAAACCCATGAACCCAGGGTCGCAATGGAATAACCTTACCGTTGAACCAAGGCTACCCCTGAGAGCAACATCAATTTATTATAAAAAAAATAAATAGGGTAACAATAAATTGCATTAAAACTATTCAATTGACCTACCTTTGATAGCAAAGATAAATCAAGTGAGTTGAAATCATCATATTTAAAGTCCTTTACTTGTTTGTAATAGCTTTCTAGGGAAATTATTTCACAACCAATGATATTTGCCATTTTATGAGCCAAACTTGTCTTCCCACACCCACTTGGACCACCTGAAAAGCATAACTTCCCAAGGATCAGTCATATTAGCCAGAACCAAAGCTAATATATGTATGCTTTCGATGAAGATAATTTGGTTAAACAAAATTGACCCATTCAGCCTAAGGTGAACCAAACTTGAGCTCAGCTAAACTCACTTCCAGTCCTATCAGCAAGCAACCGAAGAACTGACTTGGTATCTTCAATAAAATATGCTAGCTAAATGTTATTAGTTACTTATCAATTGTAGCAACTCATTCTATGACCTATTTATAAGGCCTCTACCTTAATGAAATTCCAGTTCTTCTAAAATACCTCCTCCTCTCATATGTATGTGTGTGCGTGCGCGCGTGTGTAAGATGTATACATACATATATACTATTTCATTTTTTGTTAGATTTATCTTCTTAGCCAACCCTACTTAGTAGGATAAGACGTGGGTGTTGTTGTTAGCTTTGGTCTTCTGTACACATTTAGCTACTTGTACAAATGGTTGTGTGTGGCAGAGTAACACAGCAACGTGCAGGCACTATGCAAGGTAAATATGGAGAAGCGCGCTAAAAGGAAGATTGGGAATGAGGAAAGGTTCATATATTATTACCAATTCCAACAATGACCGGAACACCTTTATTCTCTAACAAAGCCTGGAACAAAAATAAATAAGCAGATAGGTTTCAATCAAACAAATAAATATGAATTTCTTATGGAATTGCAATCTTTAAAAATGAGGTCCAGAAGAAATGTCCAAGCTACTCTTCCTTACTTGTATTGCTTGTACTGCCAAAAGCAATCCCCTGTCCAGGTCATACGAATCAGGCATGGGAGCAAGCCTAACAGTGTCCCTGAAAGATGAGGGATCTGTGGTTGCTTCATGAGAGAAGTCTTGATATAAAGGAATCTTATATAGACATACAGGAAATAATCACCAAAATATCAGAAAAGTTTAGGATATGTTTTTCAATTCAAGGAAAAATACCTAGGACTGTGTTGCCAATATGGGAGGAATCTGAAGATATGAAACGCCATGTAGCCACAAAAGGTTCTATTTGGGATTTTGTTGGGGATCGGGTCCATGGCTGAGATAAATCCTCGAGGCCAGTAACAAGGTTAGGGGTAACACGAATTGGCTTTGGTGCAACGATTGTTGTTTCTTGACTGCCAGTCACAGTTGTATTAGACACAAGTGGTGGCGTACTAAGACGGGGTACACCTGCAAGCAAAAGTTAGTAGAAGCAACAATTGAACTGTTCAACGACAAATACAGGTCACAGTAACAAATTGAAATGTTCTTGTTATTATCCTCATGGTTAAATTAAACATTGGATGGACAATGTAAGTCACTGAAACTAATTGACCAAATTTTATCCACAACCAAAGTTAACCTTTTGTGGCAGTCATCACTCACCACCACATAAAAGAAAGAATATCAAACAAGAAAAATAACTAAATTAATTAAATATGAAAGACTGAGGAAAGTATGCATTCAAATCCATACCTTTTCTCTCAAGAATCATTTCAAGATATGATTTAGTAATCCAAGGTCCATTGATACCCATCTTCAATGCTTCTGTTCCAACAGTCTGCAGTTTTTTTTTGGTTCCTCGCATAAGTAAACCACTAACAGAAAAAGCTATTCATTATAGACGGTTTTAAAAAAAATTTTAAAAAAAATCTGAGGGAGTACGCTATCTATCAATTACTTATTCTGTTCCTAAATATGGGTGCTAATTTGACAAAAAATTTCCTTCAATGAAAAGGGTGTTTGTGATCATTCTTATCTTGACTAATATGCATATAAAAGATTACACGAGAATGGAAGGCAAGCGGACAACAAGCTGGGTCACTACCCCTTTTTGGACATCAAAACCAATCTTCTTAAAAACTACATCCATAGACCTAAAAGACACAACATTGCTGCTATGCATAGCCTTCTTAACTCTTTGTAAAAGATCCAATCTCTGGTGTTAAGAAGCTAAAAGTGTCAAAACGCAAATGGTATAAAATCATGTCCATTGTCAGAACATGTTTTCTCATGTTTGGCCACTTTGCTTGAAGCGGCGCATTTGATGGCCTAAGTGTCGATCAAGAAGTTCACATGCGCATCTTTCTTCACAAATACTCCAACCTGTGGGACGATGTCCTTTCTAGTAAAATAACTAAAGTCAAAATTCAGAATCCTACCACAAGATTGGGCCTTGAAAGCCACAAAAGCTTACAAGGCAGCCTCTATTGTTGAGTAAAAATCCAACCCCCGACTCTAATAGATAAAGAAGTCACCCTCCAATGAAGGTCCACGGAGAAAGGACCTCCACCAACCACAATGTCTTCAACCGCCCTTCGCAACTCTTTATCAAACCAAATAATTGTCTCTTCCAGGTAAAACAATTGGCATGTCCTTAAGCCAAAAAATTGTTTGGCAATACCGATGCAGGATCAAAATAGAATTTCAATTTATGGATCCATTAGTTGCGGAAGAAGATGCATTAACTCACCAGCCCAGACAACTCTCTTCATGGACAATCCCTTGATAAAATCTCTATCTCGACTAACAGCCCTCCAAGCAATTCCATCCACAACACCAGATTGCCAATGTCCAAAAGGAATAACCCCTCACGATGTCTACTACCATCACACAAAAGCCAAAAGATCTCATATTTACGAATATTCAATTCAAGGCACATACTTTAACCCGTCTCCAGAATGATGCCATGGACTTTAGCCGTCTCCTTTGGATCCTCTATGACGGTCTCATCATCAAGATACCAAACATGAAGGATAAGCTTGCAATTATCACTGATATGTAACACAAGAGAAAAAATGAACCATTCCAATGGAGTGCCTTGTTGCACTCTCCAATGGCTGTCATAATATCATCCCCAATGGTACAACCTCGCTTTTTAACCATAAAGAAACTTAACACACAGAAATAGATGGACATCTCTCACACTCACCTTGCGCACTAATGTCGAACGGTCTACCATATTAAAAGCATTTTATAAATCTAATGTGAGCATAGCCAATGAACCATCTCCATATCACTTACTCAACACCATGATGCCACTGTGCAAAATAGCCTCAAACCACCTTATACCCACAACTCACAAAGGATTAGATGGACACCTTGCACACTCACCTCGCGCATTAATGTCAATTGGCCTACCATATTGAAAGCATTTCAGAAATCTATCATAAGCATAGCCAATGAACCATCTCCATAGCCAATGAACCTTCCATCGTCAAAAACTAAACCCTAGAACCCTAAGATGTGTTTTTGTTGGGTGTTCTTCTATTCAAAAGGGATATAAGTGTTTTCATCCTCCATCTAAAAAGTTTGTGTCGCGGAATGTTACCTTTCATGAGGAGGAACCGTACTTCACTCGACCTTATCTTCAAGGGGAGAATTTTAAGGAAGATAAGCTTGAAAGTCTCGATCTTTCTGGTCTTGAGTCAAATGCACTCAATCTGTCTAGTATTAAGTCAAATACATTTGGTCATTTAGGTCATGACTCAAATATACTCAATCTCTCTGGTCTCGAGTCAAATCCACCTAATTCTTTCAAATTCGAGTCAAATAGACAAAATCTTTCTGGTCTTGAGTTAAACACACTTGTACCAGACCCGTCTGAGGCTGAAGAACTAGTAGTTGAGTCAAATCAATCAATTACACCTGAAGTGGATCTAAGATATGGAAAGAATCTGGTTTACATTAGAAAGTCAAAGGTCATTCCTGAAACGACACAAGTTCAAGAGTCTGACTCGACTCCTTCAAATAAGGTAATTAATTCTCCTAAATTACAAGATAAAATGATGACCCAAACAACAGATGATGACCTAGACCTTCCAATTGCTATTAGAAAAGATACCCAAAAATGCACCAAACAACCTTTATATCCCCTTTCAACTATCTTTCTTTTCAAAAAATTTCACCTACCTTTTCAAAAAATTTCACCTACCCATAAAGTCTTCTTTACAAACCTAAACTCTACTTCCATACCTACTAATGTTTCTGAGGCATTGTGATGAAAAATGAAAACAAGCCATGAATATCGAGATGGACGCATTGAAGAAGAATGAAACTTAGGAGTTAGTGACTTTACCAGAAGGAAAGAGGCCAGTTAGAAGCAAATGGGTGTACGCAGTAAAATATAAGGTTGACGGAACAATTGAAAGACATAAAGCCAGGTTGATTGTCAAAGGGTTTACATAAACCTATGGAATAGACTATTCAGAGGCATTTGCTCTGGTTGCGAAGATGAATACAGTCAGAGTAATTTTGTCACTTGCTGCCAATTATGGTTGGAATTTACAACAATTTGATGTGAAGAATTCCTTCTTACAAGGGGAACTTGAAGAGGAGATTTATAGGCAGGTATCACCGGGGTATGAAAAAAAATGTGCCTGACAATACAGTTTGCAGGCTGAAAAAGACGTTATATGGACTAAAACAATCACCTCGAGCATGGTTTAGAAGATTCACTAAGGTTATGACATCTTTGGGATACAAGCAAAGTCAAGGAGATCACACCTTGTTCATCAAACACTGGCCACAAGGGGGGGTAATAATTTTGTTAGTATATGTGGATGACATTATAATGACAGGAGATGATTGGAAGGAGCAACAAATCTTAAGTCATTGTTTAGCTAAGGAGTTTGAAATAAAAACTCTTGGAAAGTTGGAGTACTTCTTGGGAATTGAGATGGCACATTCCCGAAAAGACATTTTTTATATCTCAACAAAAATACATTTCAAATTTACTCAAAAGAGACGGGAAAAATAGTGTGTAAACCTGCGAGCGTTCCTATGGATCCAAATCATAAATTGGGTAATACAGAAGATGTATCAGTAGATAAAGAAATGTATCAACATCTAGTTGGGAAATTAATTTATTTGTCTCACACTAGACCCGATACATTGTAAGTATGGTTAGTCAGTTCAGTTCATGCATTGTCCTAAAGAAATCCATTTACAAGTTGTTCATAGAATCTTGCAGTATCTCAAGAGAACTCCGGGAAGAGGAATTTTGTTCAAAAGAAATGGAAATACAACCCTTGAGGCCTACGCTGATGCAGATTATGCAAGTTCAATTGTTGATAGAAGATCCACTACAAAGTACTGCACCTTTCTTGGAGGAAATCTTGTGACTTGGAGAAGTAATAAGCAAAATGTAGTAGCACGATCTAGTGCTGAAGCTGAATTTCAAGTCATGGCAAAGGAATTTGTTAATTACTTTGGCTCAAAATTATTTTAGAAGGTTTGAAAACAAATAGGAAGGACCCATGAAGCTCTAATGTGATAATAAAGCAGCTATCAGTATAACACATAATCCAGTTCAACATAATCGAACTAAGCATATTAAATTTGATAGACACTTCATTAAGGAGAAGCTTGATAGTCGGCTGATTTGCACCCCATATGTGTCCTCACAGGGGCAACTTGCAGATATTCTCACTAGAAGATCGAGTAGCTCAAATTTTGAACAAATTGTATCCAAGCTGAGAATGGAGAATATTTATTCACCAGCTTAAGAGTGTTGGAAATAGAAAAAATACATTGTATGTTTCCCACTAAACTGAGCATTTAAGTCTTAGGTTCATGTACATTTAGATTCATGCATTTAGGAAGTTGGAGTATTATTTATTTTTCCTTGTAAACATAATGTGTGATTAATTATATAGTGTGTATAAATATCATGGTTGTTGAGTGGTTTATTCTCTCAAGCACATTCGGAAAATTTCTTATTTCTATTTTTCACACAACATACAAAGCATTAAAACCAATTTATACTAAACCTATCTAATAATACTTTTTAGATATTTTAACAAATATTGTACCATTCTTAACACTATCTACTTAAAATCAACATGGTGAGGCACCAAAAGAGAGGAATGTGTGTAGTCAGAATGATTTTATTTAAAAGGAACATAATTTAGTCATAAGAAGAAAAAAAAAGTTCATACCTTCCTATCGGTTCCTCTCGTGACCAAGAATGTCTCCCCAAGAACATCAATGGTTTCAAACGACATTGAAACCTTGCCATAATTGACCGTTGTGGATGCGCGTTTATAACTAACCACAACAACGTACCCAAGAGCCAGCAACCCACCCAATGTCATTCGTCCAACCTGTTCCAACACTGTAAAAATGAATGGCAAACAAAATCTACTAAAGAGAAGAATGGGCTCATTTTTTCTCAATGGACATGACAAGTTTAACGGATGAAGATTTTTTAAATGGCTAACCAAGGAATATAAGAAGTCTATAAAGTGTTCAACACAGTAACTAAAACAACACAATATGTTTTAGTCAAGCTTAACAACAAAGAATGACATGTGAACAAAGACTTCTGAAAACCATTTCATTCTGAATTTCCAACTTCTGAATTCACGTATACCATCCTGACAAAATATATAACCTCAATATTATACAATGATGTTTCTCTTGTTCCCATTGATCAAACTATAGTCAACCTCATAAAACAATATATATATATATATATATATATATATATATATATATATATATATATATATATATATATATATATATATATATATACTGACAAAGGTCGGTTCTGTTCTCTATTCAGTAATACCATAAAATAGTAATAGTAGCTCTTGAAGCTCCATTCCAAGCCCAAAAATGAATATGTGAATATTTCATGTTTTTCTAATTGCAAAAGAAATTCCAAGTCCATAAAACATTTTACTATTTTCTCAGGTTTATCCCGAAATCAAAATAACAGTATTGTAACCATCGCTCAAACAGTCTGACTGTACATGTGTGACAAAATAACTTAACCATTTACACTGTTAATTTCCCTCCAATGATGAAGCTGGCCAAATTTTTCATATTGTCTAGTGCAACTAGGGAGAACATTAACTTGTGCCTTTTGGAGTTCCATCTTCTTAGCCTTATAGCTAGACATAACATACAAGTTTTGGAAATCACTCATGAGCAGAGGGAAGATTATTGGCAATCAACTGCTTAACTTTTTGTGGCATACTCCCTCTGATCCTTATTATAAGAAAAATTCACTTTTTAGATTCATGAAATGATCAATGTATGTGGTCTATATATAGACCAGATACATTAATTATTGAATGAATCTAAAAAGTAAATTTTCTCTTATAATAAGGACCAGGGGGAGTATTAAGATTGGGGGACACATTAACAATTTCCCCAGACCCCAAAATTCAATTAAGAGTGGATGCGCGGTGGAAAACATCCATGTCGCCTTCTTGATTAATTAATACTCCCTCTGTTTCAAAATGACTGTCGTTTAAGGTTTTTGCACACATATTATAGAATGCAATGATGTTATCATAAGACATTACACTTTTACAAAATTAACCCTATTAATGTATTGGATGTAGTGTAGAGAGTAAAAAGTAAAGGACACAATTGGAAAAATAGTAATCATTACTACATTGAAAAGTGAAAATGACAGTCATTTAGAAACAAAATTTATTTGCTAAAACGACAGTCATTTTGAAACGGATGGAGTAGTTTTGTTGTAATCAACATGTTAAAACTTGAAGAAAGGTACAGCTTTTTGGTTATATACCCTTCAACTAAATACTGAACATACGACATACACTCCACTCATGTTGTTTAATATAGTTTTGTTATCAGAAAATAAAATGCTTAAGAAAAATAAATTGAAAATACTCATACCTCAAACTCAGCTTTTGGCCTGATAATGAAATTCTTGTCAACAATTCTCTGGTCACCAAGGGATAAATAATACCTAATTCCAGACTGCCGCACTTTAATCCAATCATTTATCCCTGCTTCTTCACTCGCCGAAGGTGGTCTAAGGTACATTTCAATAAAACTGAAAGCAAAACAAGTTTTCTAGTGAATATATTTAAAATTTTCTAGTGATTACCAAACTCATTTTCTTCCTAAATTCAAAATACTAACTTATCTGTTTGAGCTTGATTTCCTTGAGAGGAAGAACCTGGATATCCATCTGAAGACTGTCACAAAGTTTTAAATAATAGTAAAAAGCTTGAAGATTTCCCCTAAAAGTCCAAAACACAATAACAAAAAAAAATCTGACAAAAAAGATATTTGAAAAAACTATACAACAATGCGTCAGAAGAATAATAGTAAGAAAAAAAGACCTGACGGGAAAACTAATATTACAAACAGTTCCTCTCAAAACACAGGTAATGCCAAAGAATAAACAGTAAAGGGCATGCAAAACATATAATCTTCGCTCGCTTTATAAAGACCCGTATTCAAATGTTCACAAACTTAACTTGGTCCAGCAATACTAAAAATGTAAAGGAGAAAAAGGCCAGCCCGCTCATGAGATTCCTTTCCCACTATCTTAAAATAAATATGATGCAAGGTTAAGAGGTGAAAAACACATGATTGTATGGAACAGATTAATATGTTAAGTTCATAAATATCAAAACTGTTCTCTTTGTCATCCATATATGATAGGTTTTATTGCTTTGGTTTGTTTAAAGCAGTAATGCGTTTATTCAGAAGATTGCTTTCTTCTTATTCTTAGTTTGGTTCTGTAAAGTAATGCAATCAAACCCAAGGTTTAAAGCCTGAGGAATCTTAGGGATGAAACCTGGTTACCAGATGGTTCAGCTAGTCTAGCTCTGAAAATAAACTATATTTGGGGTTCTAAGATAAGGAAGAAGACTAACTTCAAAAACGAAAAACCGTGCAGCTAAAAGACTTCCAGTAGACAAGGACAGGATAAAAAAACAAACAACTGGGCACCAGAGAGAAAGAAAACATAGCAAACATAAACATGACAAATCAAAAACAATTAATCAGAAAAAGAAATTCACAAACAAAAATACAGACATCAGCACTAAATTACAGATGATAGAGTCACCTTGCTTCTGCATTTAACCTTGTAGATTGCCTCTCTAAATGATGACACAAAGCTGTTGTTAATTCTGATCTGGCAAAAGAAGGTAGACGAAATAAAATTGTAAGTTGTGAAATTTAGACATGAAAACAAGAAAGCAACCTCCCTTCAAAATAATAAGAAAGCAACCAACCTGTGCATGATGAAGATCTGGCTCAATGTGCTTCCTAAATAATGGAAAAATGCTATCTATAAGGTAATCCAATGAACAAGAATCTCCAATGTCATAGCGAACTTTAGAAAGTAGGCTAAAATGAACACCACCAACCTGATTTATAAAAAATATACGTTCTGTATTATCTTGAAATATATAAGCAACTAATAACATAGTGCAGGCCATAAATTAAAGTACTACAAAAAAACTACCACTGCAACTCGAATATCCAGTAAAGACCGTAGTTTTGCGTGCAATGCATATGTACCATCAACTATTACCTGAAACAAATGGTGTTAAGATAATTAAAAAACAAAAAACTCATTTGAATATACAAAAAACTCCTTCAAATGTGCAATTAGGTCAGCTTACCACTCCAGATGAAGTACTCATTATTTTTTTATAGCCTATGCGTCTCTTTTGCTGATAATCAAACTCTGGAATTAATGTATCCTTGCCTTTTGTCAAATCCTAATTGCAAAAGAGAATCCTGTTAAAATAAAAGAAGAAGAAGAAGAAGAAGAAAAAAAAGTTTGCAGAAAGCAAAGCATCCCGCCCATGGTTTTAAATTGCGGATGCGGCAGCGGGTGCGGATGTGGTTGCGGGTGTTGCAATTGCGGTTGTTGCGATGTGCATTGCGGCCGTTGCAGTGTGAATTTTTATAGGGAAGTGTTTGAAATACAAAGTTGAAAAACACTTAATGTTAAGTTTTTTCATTACATCAGAAGTAATTTGAGTTTTAGGATTCTAATATTTTAATTTTCGATGAAAATACTTGAAAAAACATTATTAAAATTGTTTGATGTGGTTTCTACAACCGAAGGCGTGATTTTAAAATCACAATGCAATTGCAGTCCGATGCGGTTGCGGAAGCATCTGCAATATTGCAGATGCCATTGCGGTTGCGGAAGAATCTGCAATATTGCAGATGCCATTGCGGTTGCGGACTGTAATTTAAAACCATGACCCCGCCACCCTAATAAACACCTTCTAAATAGACAGTTTCACACGTAATCTAATCAGTTTCAGTCCAAAAGAAAACTAGCATAAAATCACTTCGCCATGAATTACATGATAAAAACTGCTGCTGCTACTGACGCTTTCTATTCTTACTCTTGCTTTTCTCTTTTGATTTTGTAATCGATAGTGAAAATAAGATCCCAGGATCAGAATACACATTAAGCCAATAAAACTTGAAAAGACCAAAAAGTACAGTATAAAATTTAAGGGGTTAGTAGACATCAGCATTGGAATCCAATGAAGGCGTAAAACCAAGGTAACGAAGAAAAAGGTCAGACCAGCACTTATTACATTGTTAAACAAAGTATAAGAGCAATGACAAACCTCGAGATTCTTGATAAGGGTAACAAAATCTATAGAATCCAAAACATTTCCTTCATCAACTCCATCACAATAATTCTCCATTGATATAACAGTACAACCAATAACAGATGACACCTTCTCAGTTAAGCTTCAGGAGCCATGAAATAAAGAGAAAAACAAGGCAGCATTATACACCTTTCTTCAGCAAACCAAGTCCAAAAATTACAAATACATGGACAACAATATCAATACATTACCTTGTTTTACCAGAACCGCTCGGACCACCGATGCCAACTGTAACAAGCCCATCCTTTTTCTCTCGCAGTTCTTGGATAGATTTTACCAACAAATAATATCCATGATCAAAAGACTGCACCATTTTTTTCACATCTTACTATAATCAGCACAAATTCCATGGATCATGACAATTAAGCACGCAAAAGTTCAATATAGATGACACGGCCATAATAATTGGCAACACACTATCAGTCACACGTACAAACATTACACAATTAAAGTTAATTGTAAACCTCTCAGACACCGAAAACACGACACTAACAAAGACACGTCGGACACCGATATTAATTTTAAAAAATAATAAATTATGCTATCGGTATCAATGCTACATAGTTGTGAACTGGTCTTCAAAAATGAAATTAATTATACAATTTAAGTATATGTGTGCTCATCGACAAGCAAAATCTTCAAGTACTGAAAAACGCAATCTATAAATTTAAGTTTCGAGCCCTAAAATTGAAGAATGGAAGAAAAAAATACACATATATTCAATTCATCTGAATTGAGAGCAAAGCGTTAAGTGCATCGTATAAGCGAGAAATGAGAATCGAAGAATACGAAAGATGATGCATGGTGTATGTGTATACCACATGGAGAGGGAGAGATTGAAGGATGGAAGAGGAAGAAGTTGAAGGCTGTTGCTGGAAGTAATCGCGTCCTCCTTCATGGAAAACTCGCTGAACAACTTCATCATCCATTTTTTCCGATCAACAACACTGCCACTTCTGAGATTCCTTCTTGCGTTGTGAGTTGCGGTGAGAGAGGAATCTTGTGTGGAGTGTGATGTGATGGAATTTTTCGCCAAAATGGAAATGGAAAATAAAAAATACAACGAATTCTTTTTACTTTTTTTTTTTGGTTGGTGCGAGAATATGTGTAATTAAGTATAGTATTTGGAATTTCAGATTTCGGGTCCGGAGGGTTATGCGTGTCTGCCTTTCCCACCTAGTTCACCACCATTTTCTCCACGTATTTTGCTCATACAAGTTTTCTTTTTTTCTTTTTTTTTATTATCGAAATGACAATAATTACATTAATGTTTTTTAAACTAAAATTTTGATTAAATCTGATTTACGAAATTAAATTTTTTATTTTAAATATAAACAGTTATACTTATTTATTTTAAATTTAAATATTTTTATTCTTATCTCACATTTTTTATTAAAAAATTATAATTTTTTTATTTTTTAATTTATATTTTAATAGAAAAGTTCAATAATAAATTTATATACAATGATTTGTCATACTTTATAAGTAATTTATCATTTAAAAATTGAAAACATAGTTAAGTTTAAGTATAAAAATATGAAATGTGACCAAAACTATTTAAATTTAAAATAGAGGAACTAAAATTTTTTAAATTTAAAATAGGAAGTCAATAGTCAATTTCATGAATCAAGTAAAATAGAGGATCAAAAACTATAATTAAACCTAAAAATTTGTTAGTTCTTTTAAAAATACCCTTCATTTTTACAATAAAAATTTTTAAGTTATTTTTAGGCGATTTTCGGTGTGATTTTTATGGTTCCTATTTTCTCCAGATCTCCATTGTTGTTGTGAGTTTTTCAGTGAGGTTTAATGTCTTAACCTTAGGGTTAGGGACCAACCGATGAATCCATTGCAGTTGGTTCGGGATCTTCTTCATTTTCGAAGATGATGCAGGAAAGAGAAAGGTCGAGGAAAAAGGTGTCACCTTTTCCGACCAAACCTTCGAACTCAGAAAATAAAACGAAGGCTAGCAATGTAACACCCCGAAACTTAGGATTACTTATTTAATTAATTATTTGTGATTATTTGTGTGGTGCATGACGATATGTGGTGGGGCATTATTGAGAGATAGACGATAATTAGAATTATTTATAATTAAATAATTTATTATATATTATTTAGAGTAATAAAATAGAATATTAAGGTGAAAAGGAGAATAACGGCATAATGGTAAGTGTGTATGAGTTAAGTGAGGGCATAAGAAGAAGAACATAGAAAAGGTCTATTTTAATAGAGAAAATTAGAGAAGGAATGATTCATTCTATACGATCGTGAAATTTTGGAGAAACCATGAAGTGAGAGTTAGGGCACAGAGAACCAAGAAGGGAATTCCATAGAACTCGAAGGAAGGATCAAATCGTTAGGAATTTGAGGTAAGGGGTATAATCGGATTTATTATGATTGATAGGGGGTTAAGGTAAATGTAGAGTTTTGTATGTATGATGATTTGGTGAAAAGTATGATGAACACTGATGAAATTGTTGATAATGATGTTTGTATACCACGATTTATGTCCATAACGATATAATGATGTGTTTTGATGTTAATATCTGGTGTATGGTGATTAAAATGCGTTTTAGACTGAGTATGATGCCTGGAATCAGAATTGGTATGGTTTGGACATAAGCGAAATCGCAACTGAGAAGTTGTTGATTCACTAGCGTCATTGGACGAGCTAAAGGCAAACACGGGGCGAGCGAGTCGCCCATGTGTTTCCAAGCGAGCCAAATGGCGAAGGGAATGGTGGAAAAGGAAGGCTCCTGGAAAATGTATGGGAGGGGATCGTCGTTAGAGCTTCGTCGGGCGAGCGAAGCAGCGATGGACCCAATCGCGCAGTTCACCGGGCGAGCATCAGGAGAGAGGGAGGCGAGCAGAGCGCTCCTAAGGTCGTCAGGTGAGGCTTAGGCGAGCAGTCTAGCAGTAAAACTTCAAAGTATCGTGACTTAAATTTCAGGACTCTGTTTGATGCATCGTTCGAAGCGTAGGGAAGCTAACACATAAAACTATCTTATAGCATAATTGTATGAAGCATTTGGTGTATTATTTCTATGTGTTTATATTTTTGTTTTTGGATTATTATATGTTGGTATACTATAATGTCTTGTTGAAGTGGCGTAACGTGATGTATACTAATGATGTTACCATGTTACCATCATGCATTCATAGCACTTTTGGACGGTGGTCCGCTTGTGACGAGTCTCAATCCCATTGTGTGGATTGAGTGTGTTTGTGATGTGTTTCGGTTCCAAGAGGGAATCGATCATATGGTGGAGATCATGAAGGGTGATCAACCAGGTGTTCATAAATTTTGGTACAACATGCATTAAGTTAGTGTTGCTGCATTTATATTTTATGTGACATTGTATGAATTATACTAATGAGTTGTGATGTGATGATAATTATGAACTATGTAAATATATGATGATTATGATGATGAAAGATATCTAAGTGTTATTATGATGTATCGGTGAGTATGAAATATTGATGAATGATATGTGTTGTTATATGATGATGTTGTTTATAACTACTAATATTTTTCTTATATCTTTTATAATGAATCATGATTACTCACCCTTTCTGTTTGAATGTTATCTCCACGTGGGTAACACACAAATACTCAGAAGTAGCTTGTAGAGGCGTTGGAGATAGCTTTGGAGCATTTTATTAGTTTTCGTTTATTAGAGGTGTCTTGCTATAATATGTAACACCAGGTTGGGAATTTGTTTTGTGAATGTTATATTCCTTTATATAATGATATACTTTATGACGGTTTTGATTTTTAAATTGGTTTTAAGTCCTACTTTTCATGAGATTAAAACATTATCAGTTTTGTTTTATGAATAAGTTTATTCATGACGATAAATTTGATGCGATGTTTTTAAAATGATGAGTTGAATTACAATGAGTAGTTATTTACTATTGATGTAACTCATGTTATAAAGCAGGATTGTTATTATGATGTTTTCTATGAAGTGTGACATCCTTGAGTGGTGATTTTCCTTGAATTATTCCGTAAATTATATGAGAAATACATATGGGATTAGAAGGGTGTTACATTAGTGGTATCAAAGCAAGTCGATCTATCTGACCAGGTTTTTGTACGATGTATATGTCTTGGTGGTCGATTTGTGTGTAAACACAATCGATGTCTGATTCCTCTAATGATGTTTGCCTATACACATAGAGAAATGGTTGGAGGGAGAAATGATGATGCAATTGTTGAGGCTTTGGGGTCATTGGCTCAAGCAATGGCCCAGAATCAACAGATTCCCCAGAATGCTGGAGGAAATAATGAGTTATGTGCTTTGGAAAAGTTACAGTAAAACAACTCGCCGATCTTTAAGGGCACACATGATATTGATGGTGCAAAGGTGTGGCTCAGAAAGATCAAGAAGATCTTCATATTTATGGCTTGCTCATAGGAGTAGAAGGTGTCGTTTGGTACCCACATGTTGGAAGCGGAGGCTGAAGACTAGTGGAATATGTGACACCCTAATTTTTATTAATTAGTTATATATTTTATTAATTAGTTATTTGTTTAATTTTATGATTAATTATTTTAATTTAAATTATTTTATGTATGTTATATGTGACGGGTTAGTCGGGGCGAGACTATCGAACCATTGAGTTATCATTGGGAAATAACGTCAGTTAGTGAAGGATTATTAATTAGTGAGAATTATAGAGAAATGGTGGAATATAGTAATTGGGCCTAATATGTGGAAATGTGAATTTTGTACCCTAAAATTTGCCCTCTCTTTTCTCAAGACATTTCTCACAAAAGATCTTCAATGGCTCAAGCTTGTACAAGTGTTAACTAGGTCAAACCATCTCCTAAACATTGATGCCTCAAATTAGGGTTTTGATTTTCACAAGGACAATTGGACTTCTAATGCATCAAATGACTTTTATGGATCATTATATACCTCCAAGAATACTCATGTCAAGTTTCAAGTCTTGAATCACATTTTTACTCAGCCAATTACTTAGATGACTGAAAATCAGTTGTATTGAGTAAAAAAGTCAATTATGGTCAACTTATAGTCAAACTTCATGATTTTTGGCCAACATCAGCATTACAAAGTCATCTTCATCAATTGATCAAGGTCTCATCATAATTCCTCAAGAAACACAGTCAAATCATCAAAAGGGGCAAAATGGTCAAAATTAGGGTTTTGACTAAGAATGACTGATCAGTGATTTTTTACCTAGTACGTGACTTAATGGCTTGAAGCATGATCTCAAGAACTAAAACATAACATGTTGACCTAATTTCATGGCTCAAAACATTTCTCAAGATTATTGAATTGATAGTTGAAATTTGATCAACTGATGAAAAGTCAACTAATGCACAAAAAAGTCAAACTTTGACTTTTGATCAAGATTTAACTTCAAAGATCACAATTCATCAATACATTCAAAAATATGAAGCTTGATCATCAAAAAATCAAGAAAGTCAAAAAGTCTTTGAAAAAGTCAAACTTTTTAAGACTTAGAAAAATTTCTAAGTGTTTTAAACCTTATTATTTCCTAACTTCATGACATTTTTTCACCATGATGCAAGATGATTCAAAGAAAACTTTCAACATGAAAGTTGTATATATTGATGAGATATACAACTTTTCTTTGCTGATCAATTCCTAGAAATGCTTGTATTTTGAGTTATGAATCCATGAAGTCATACACTTTTTATAAAAACACTAGTGAAAATTTGACCTAGTTTAGGCAGATTTTTGTCCCAACTTCATGGCTATTTTTCACATAGTTCCAATTTGGTTTTGCAAAAATGGAAAACATGAAAGTTGTAGAGGATGTTACAAGATTTTCAAAATGTCCAAGAACTCGGTGAGATCATTTTTGATCTAGGAGAATCGAAGAGGAGAAGTTGGGCTTCCAAACTTGAATTAAAAGGCATTTTTCATGAAGAACA